CTCCATCCCAGCCGAAACCAGGACACAGACCCGTTCAAGAAAGATGAAGCAAGGTTCCCTGGTTAGACATCAGAACTTATGGTTAGGAAAGTGCTGGCCCCAATATTTGTGTGCAACTTTACATGTTTTTATGTTTCAGTATTTCAGAACAGCTGTAACTGTGATAAAAATAATCTTGTGGTTCTTCTGTACTATGTTCGCTTTGAATTTACAATCCAGATTTGAAATCCACCAAAACAGATCCAAAAACTGGAGTACATCAAGTACTGATATTCTGAATAATCTTCTTAACGAGCACCAAACAATTTCAAGACACTGACAATTGAGAAAGCCATTAATTCTATAGGTCATAGTTACACACCCAGAGGTGTAACTTCTTTATGTACAATCACTGTAAACAACCGCTTTAAAACAAGTCCATCTTGCAGACTGCTGAAGAGGAAACAATAGAGATTTACCTCAGGTCAGAAATGCCAGGATGAAACTTCAAGCTGTTGAATGCTCTGCTTCTAGTTGAACTATATTTCTTCCTCTCTTACCATATTTCTTCCTCATTTACACAAGAATTAGAAAAGGATAATTTCAAGTTCTCTTTTTATCCCCCACCTAATCACACAATGATGCTGAGATTTACAAACACAAGACAGACATCTGTGTGAATTTACCTTTGCTTCAGAAAGCTTTCCTTCTAAATGTCATTACGCTATTATAAGGAGAGAAGAAAATGTGGACCTGGGGCATGGACAGTGCTGGATTCCAAATTCAATTAAATCTGTTCCTGTATATATAGAAAAGATGCTGCAATAGTGTAATGTGTTTTTTTCCTTCAGAAAACTGATACGCTGGAAGTTTACATTTTCATTATTTATTGATTTTAATACATACTTTTCCCATCATTTACACAAAAATAAATATAAAATTTAAGAAAACATTATTGACATTATACAGCTAAATAAAGCAAGAATTTATTCTAGAAAGTAATCTGTAACATTAGTTATTATCATAACTAATTTTCCTTTCAGGACATAGTTCTTCTGTCACTCAAGCAATTGAGAAATTGATGGGAACTGTGTCTTTACAACTGAGGACAGATTCTGGCATACCAGTGATTTTAAAAGAAAAATGGACTTTATTTGAATACCACACTTCTATAAAAGTCTTTGATTTTGTTTGTTTGTGATAATTTACTGATTAACTAAAGTACGACTCAGTATCTTCTATAAATAGAACATCATTATCAAGATACTCCAAAATTATATTTCCACCATTGTACAATGGATAGTCTTTATCAGATAGCCATGTTTCCAACGCGTGCTCAAATGGCAAGGCTTCTCCAGAGGCAGTATGACATAATCTCAATTTCTGTAAGACAAATAGCACAGAAATTAACATCAAGATTTGCTTATCTGAGATGCAAGAAGTGGGGTAGGGGAGGGACAAAAGGGTAAAAAACAAACCAAAATCAAAACCCAACAACCTGGAAAACGTTTGTTATTATTACTGATTTACCTGGGATGTTGATTTGTTGTTGTCATTTTTAAGGCTTGCTAAGGAAGCTGCAAAATCTACTACTTTGCCAATACTCCATTTACTGCAAAAGAACATGGGCTTGCTTTTCTCTTTGTTCCCCTTTGGTAAAAATACTTGAAAGTAAATTCTTTCTGTCTAGAAAACCATGAAAAATAAACAAAAAATTATTCACAGAAGAAACACATAATTCCAGTCATACATATCTAATAGTTTTTTAATAAAAAACTTAAACTTCAACCCAAAAATTACCAAGTGAAGCTTGTTCTAGTCCATCAGGACCAAGGCCCCATTTTACTGCAGAATATAACTGACTGAGATCATCAAGTCCAATCCCCTCCAGCTGCAGGCACATGTATGATGGACAGTAAGTTCAGAAAGATGGAGAGAACATCTTTTGCCAGAGTCCCACAGCTAGACTGTTACATATGGACAGACATGAAAAGGTGCCTGCCCTGGGTTTACTAGACAATAATGACTGCTCTGGGGAGAAAAAGGTGAGTTTAAACAAGCAGTGCTGGCTTTTGGCAGCAGTATAATGTCTCAAACTGGAATGCAACAGTGGTTAAAACAAAACAATTCACCGTACTAGAAATGCTTGCTTCATAAACCAACATTCTGGTCATGGCCAGCTAATCCTTTATCCTGTTTTTCCTTGGTTTATGTACTAAACGCTCTTTCAGTATCTACTAGACTGAAACATTTGTTTAAGAAATTACAAGAGTAACCTATGAAGGAGAGATTTTGAACGGGATTGGGACAATCCCTTCTTCACGTTTATTTCTTCTTGGCATTCAACAGAAGACACAGAGCAAGCATGAGTGGTATATTCATCACTTAAGACTGCCCTTGCTGAGTCCAAGCCAGACACTATCAAACAAGACAGAAGTCTTTTTAAAGGATTTATTTATGCCTTCCCTAGAAAAACACGGAACTACCCTTCCCCCAGCTGTTCATAAAACTGAGTCTGAATTTCAATCTCTGCATTTTCCTCAAAACTTCAGCGCTCTCCACACACAGGAAAATCTTTAACATCCAGGAATATTACAAAGGGGCAAGGGAAGCAGGACCTGAATCTTGCTAAAATGTAAATGACCACAACTTGTAGAACAGCTAACACAATGGCCATCCTATTATGGACACACGCTAACGTCACTCAGCTGCTATCAGTGCCCTGGCACCTTCCTACAGTTGCTCCTCCAGTTCTAAGGATGATGAGACAGTCTCCCACAGTTCACTGGAACTTAATTCACAAAACAGCTCATTCTACTGTTGCATCCCTAACTATGGGATATGCCTCCTGGAATTTCTGTGCCCTATCCAAGAAAATATCGGTCAGTCAGGGACACAACAACTAACACTATTTTGCAGCACAGCCCTCCTGTTTTGAGCTGGTCAGTCTCAAGAGGGGTAACTCGTATCAGGTCTGACACCAAAAGAAGCAATCATCTGCAGAAAGCTAATCTGAACAAAGAGGCCAGAGAAAAGGTATTTCTAAGATAGCCTGATTTTCCTGATCATAGCATAAGAAAGGTCAGGAAGGACCTCAGGTGACACGTGGTCCAAAACCATGCTCAAAGCAACGGGAACTTCAAAGCTGGACCTAACTATAAAGGTAGATCAGGTTGCTCCAAGTCAGATTCAATCAAGTTTTGAACATCCCAAAGATGTAGATTCCACAAATTTTCAGAGCAGCCTATTCCAAAGTCTGACCACCCTCACTGTGGTTTTTCTTCCTATTATCTAATTGGAATTTCACATGTTGTAGCTTGTGCCCATTGCCCCCTGTCTTTTTGCTGGGCACCTCCAAGAAAAATGTGTCAATCTGCTCTATATAGTGATGACGGAACTAATGTGCCTAAGAGGCATTCCAGCAACTTCATATTAAAAAAATCTGTCATCAAACTGGAACAAGCTGGGCAGAACAAGGCTAGAAGGAGTCTAGGAAGCAATTTAAATAGAGAGGTGTTGAAGGTTAACAGGCTTAATTTATCAGTGTTAGAATTATCGCTATTCTAGATGATTGAACAATTAATATGCAAATAAGAAAATGAATAGTAAGAGAAATTAGCATACAGTAATTTGTGCTACATTTTTTAGCGCTTACTGGCTTTGGAATTAGGAAGCAACTTTTAAAATTTTCTTATTTATATTGAGGGTCGATTTTTTAATTATGTTCTACAATATTTGAAATTAATCACTTTCCCTCCAGCACATATTTATTAAAGTGGTACTATCTGTGAAGAATGCTACAAGCAGATCTTTGTATTATGACTTCTGCTAAGCAGTGTTATCTAATTTCTAAGCATGACAAAATATATAAAAAAGAAATTAATAGCTGTAGTTGTTTTAAAAACAGTAATTAAATGTAGTCTACTAAGAGAAGACCTAACAATAAGACTATCACACAGAATGTTTTCAGTATTATAAAATCAATATAACAGGCCTAAACTTGGTGTGCTCCGACAACAATGTGGTGAAAAGTAATTTAAATACAGTTCTTTTAAGAGGATGCATAAGTACAGATCTAAAGTGAAACCCTAGATGAAAGAATCAAGATGCTTCTAAACCCAACATAATCCTAATGTGTGGAAAATACTTGAACACCAGGTTTGACTGACCACGGTAGTGAAAAACAGTAAGAAATCTGTGAAATACTTCAAGAATCAAAGAAATTAAAGGCTGAAAGAAACATAAAGCAACTGTCAAAACCCTTTTCCAACCCAAAGTCAGGAACAACTGACCTCAGGCCATTCATACCTCATCCAGAAATGTAATAAATGTCTATTAAATTTGAGTAGCAGAAGTAAGAATGGAGCTTTGCAGAACACAAAGCTCAGTTTCGTATGAGACAGGTTCAATCTGACCGGTACAGACTTGTGCAAGCTGTGTCCTGTCTGTGTCAGAAGCCTCTCAGTACGCAGCATGAAAAGCATCCCTTTGAGATGGGTTTGCCCTTTGTGACTGAGCCCTGGTAATAAGGTTAGCATAACTAACACCATTTTGTACGGCCATTCTCTGTGACCAAGTGATCATGTATCAGTCCCCTCCCCTCTCCTCCTGATGGCCCTGAAGGTCCTGCGCACCCGGCAGACTTCCTCTCCCCTTCCCTATCAGCCTCAAGGTCCCTGGGCGCCAGGCTGACTACACCCCTCCTTATTGGCCTTGAAGATGCCAGGCACCCAGCCAACCCGGTGGTGATTACCCCATCACAGAACAGGGAAGCCCAGCAGCACACAGAGCACTGTCCATAACATCAAGCAGTTACAAGCCCTAGGTGGGACTTGGACCAGAACTGCTGCTGGACTGCAAAACCCGTGATCCCCCAGCGGCCAGGGACGCCTCCACTGTCATCTGCTTCCTCCAAGGACTGAGTGAGTGACTCGTATTCTTTTACATGTTTCGAGTCTAGACGATGACTGTGATAGCGACACTGCAAGCCAAGTATTAAGATTTGACCCGATCTGCAGAGGATCCAGGTGATGAGGAACCATAAGCTAAGCTGTGCTATAAAATTCTGTGCTACGCTGCTTATAAAATTGTGCTACACTGATTCTGATTATAAAAATCCTGTGCTACTCTGATCATGAAGTTCCATGCTATGCTGTTCATCAAAGTCTGTTTGTTTTGAGGTTTGTTTTGAGGGCACTCACAAACCAT